AGTAATCAGGAAGGCCCAGGTGATATATTGGTGTCTGCATGAGTGACTTGAAGTCTTCCAATATATCGTCAATTAAATCCATTCCTATCTAAATATGAGAATACTTACCCATCTGTACCTCTTATTTCAAATTTAATTCCTTATAGGAAGGACAGTACCTAGCTTCACGGTAGACATACCCTGCTAATGGCCATTGGTATTAGTGATCAACGAGGATCTTCTAGATTATCCGGCTGGCTCGCATGTCACTGCTGACATTTTCAGGCTCAAGTTTCGATTGGTGAAGTGGCATTAACCTTCCAGTCTTCCAGCTTGGGATTTTTTGAAGATAGGATGAAAACTTTCTGAATTACTTTGCATATAACCTTTACCACTGAGTATCCTTAATAGCTCCATACTTTCTCTGATTTAGACTTTCCAGGCAGTAGAGGTTGGAACCTACCTGACATATAATCAGGATATAGGCAGCTCTGACTTGAAAAAAGATCAATCGAGCATCTTGTGACTTTTACCATGGTTGGACGGACTCTTTCTTATGTCCAATGATATGTCAATATCATATCCTGTATCTATCCGCGTTAGACAAAATGACTTATGATGGACCCCAGGTTCTTATGGGACTGAAGAAATGCATCCAGACACGTGAGGTGGCCAATAGGAGCTTGTTTACAATCTTGTCCAATGTGTTTTGCATCGATCAATCAGAGTTGGTAAGATCCATGCTACCTGAAATTTCAGGGTCAAGCTGGGTAGGCAAAATTCTTCAAAAAGCCATAAAAAAGGTAGTTCTGAGAGGTCACAACACCAGTAAAAAGGTGAAAAATTGAGTCCTTTGACTGGTTTTAATCTCTGTTATCTCTATTATAACTAAGAAGTGAAAGGTACTTCACTGTTGGTCCTTTTCCCTTTAGGAACTTTCTTGCCGTAGGTAGTAAAGGTGGGAGCTGAACTTTGCAAGTCACAAGAGTTCAGTTTGTTCAAAGGAGATTGTAGACAAGAGGGAAGGGATGGGGAGGGAGTTCTGAAAGAACTTTTGGATTGGTTTAAAGAAAGTAGTAAGACTTTATTAGCATAGAAGTATTAAAAACTTCTTGCGAACATCTTTTTTATATGTGATCAGAGGATTAGTGGAAAGAGTTTATCAATAATTTGATTGTAAATATTATAAAAATCTGTATATTTATAATTTATTAATAATTTATTAAAAAATTTATTAACTATTCAACAAAAATTCATTAAAATTTATTAAAAATTTATTAAAAAAATTTTTTTAATAATTTATTAATAGTTTGTTAATGATATATCATTAATTAATTATTAACTATTTATTAATAATTTGTCAACTATTTATCAAAACTATTTATTAAAATTTATCAACTATTTATCAAAATTATTTAGCAAAAAATTTGACAATATAAAATTATAAAATAAAAAAATTGACCAGCTTACAATACAAGTGAATTTGAATTAAGATACAAATTCTGATATAATACATAATATATAGACTGATCCCCTTTTTCCTTAAAAAATTTCTTCTATCCATCTTAATCACTTTTAACTTGAAATCAACACCCAAGTCAAACAAGAGACTAAAGAGAAGATAAACATGGGTGAAAGTGTTTGGCAGTGCGCATACAAAGTGTATAATAAATGTCTTACAACTTTATTAGTGCAAAGATATAAAACTTTTGACAACCATTATTCTTGAAAAGGTGATTGGAGAAATCAATGGAAAGGGTTATTCATTAATAATAGTTATCAATCTCGAAGGTCCCATCCCTAATTGTACGATATTTTAATCATCAATAAAAGTGTAAATGTGCGATGAATGCAATAATAAATAAGGCTCTGGACGTACACGTAGATATTCTATTATGCATCTACTGTGATCAATTGCAGAAATCGTCAGGCGAATTCGTTATGACATCGTTCTTACAATATATTGATACAATTTGATTTTCCGCTTATGCCCGTTCGCTTTATGTTTAGAATAAGAAACCAAAAGAGTAACTATATATCAGTCTGTCCGCACGATCGGACGATTGCAAATCGACAAAAGTCGGGGGATGCATCGAGAAGATACAAGGTATGTCGTACGATGAATTGTCACATAATAAATTTTCATATCAATTTAATTTTAAGATCAATATTATTTACTATAATACCTTGGCTAAGCTTAAATGCCTTATAGCTTTTCGTGATTATGTCAATTAAGTGATGCCGTTGCAATTAGCGCTATATGCAGATGTTTATGAATGCAAAGAAAAAAAATCTTGGGGACGAAAACAAGTCGTTAAATATATTCTCGTCCTAATTATTCACAGAATACAATTTTAGAAAGAATACATAGAAAATACAAGACACCCTTAAATATAATTAACCAGTTGTCTATCTGCTCGTTCTAGCCATACTATCCATCAAGGAGGAAGAAATTCCAGTATTAACAGCCGTGCGTTAATCTTCCTGTTCTCTCAATATTCGTCTAAATGAGAATGGTTCAAATTTTCTACCAGTTCCCTCATAGAATTTGTTGTTGAATTCAACCCTGTTTTCATAATTAAAATATTCGATCGGTTAGAAAGACGTCAGCCAACAATCTCGTCAAACAATTATCTTGACAGACTAAACGTACCAATGCAGACGTAAGGCGTGTAAAAATGCTGACAAGCCTTCCATCAATAACAGGATCGCGATGGTCAAGGTTAGCCATAGGGTTACCGCGATAACTATAGCAATGATCCCGAATACACCTTTCATGCCAAGTGTTGGTTTCAGTGTCATATCCCACAGTACTGCCGACAGTTCTGAGCATGACAAAAAAAACGATTGTTATTGAAGATGAAAGAAGCAATGGAATGCCACCTTATACGTTGCTTCAAAAACAAGGGAACTTACGGGCATGAGCCAAACTTAAAGCCCACAATCGGAGGTAACTTGCGGTGTTTGAGATGCAACCCAAGCAAAATTCTATGGTGTGTATCACCTGGTGGATCATAATTTCACTAAAATCGAATTCTTCTTCCTCGAGCATCACTTCTGCAACAACAGCCCCGCCATATTCATTATTTTCGTCGGTTGATACACGGGTGGCGTCAGTCTGGGGATTATGATAACCTTGGGCCCGAATTTTCTTGTATTCGTGCCTCAGGATCAACGGTTTTGCGAGTAACATAAATGGCACACATGTCAAAGCAATTATGAGAAGTGTGGCTTGAACAAGTCCCTGGATATGATTTAACAATGATTCATCAAATTATCGCCGCTCGATCGGTTTTGAAGTGAACATCGGTAATGAGACTAGACCTTACTTGTCCAGGGTACAATTGATCCTTTTCCGACACAGTGCCAGGCTGTAAAAACATGTAGATCAACATGTTCAGTAGTCCTGGAGGGCTTTGGTCACTTTCGTTCCAGTTGATTGACCACTTATAAATTATAGTGAAGGCCAAGTATCCGAATATACATTGCATGAATAACATCTGAGGAATGAACTCTGTGTAGATGCTTGTTGCTTTCCTGAAGTAGGTATAATTAAAAACCGTGAGGACGATACCAAAACTCATCTGGTGATTTTCGAATAAAGTGGATTGTAAATTATCAAGGATGTCATTATTCAACGACAAAGTATGCAAAAATTTAAGAATAACATCATACTTGAAGGACACCCAAAATCACAGACATCTTCATCTTGTAAGAATTGGTGAACACCAAATAATTCTCGGAACCGTGCCAAGCCTTGAATTAATAACAAGACGAGGATTGGAATCGGACTTGTAAATAGGAAATCAGACTTCACGACCATCACAGATCAGATAACTCACCGGATCGATACCTATAGGATACACTCCAACCTGATGCCCTTCGTATTGTCCCGTGACATTGTTGTAATTCCATTTGAAACCTGAAGAAAACAGTTCAAGCGGCCTGGAAAACATGTCATTATAGACAAATCCGGTATACATAGAGAATAACCCCATCAGTAGGATTATGTAGCGTCCGCCAAAGAACATCTCGAACATCTATAATTTGACCAAACGAAGATTTAAAAATCGTGTACAAGTATCAAGATACTTTTCTGGTCAATCCATACATCTGAACATTTTGGAACGTACTTCGTTCTTTCCCGGTTTGTCCAAGGATTTCTCACGAATGATTAAGTATAACGCTGCAATGGTGACCAGAGCTCCGTGACCAAAGTCACCAAACATTATAGCGAACAGGAACGGGAAGGTGATTATGGTGAATAATCCAGGATTGACCTCACGATATTTCGCGACGCCATATGCGTCCACTATTTCTTGGAATCCGCTGGTAAATTTGTTGACACGTTGGAACGTTGGTGGTTCTTTTGTCGTGCGAAGCTCATTCAGGATTGATGGCACCGTTGAACCTGACTCTTCCTAGCTTATGCAATGGTCAAAGTTTAACTCGTTATCGATGCACGGACACGCCCGAACAAACTGGTCAGGTTAATACTCACGGTGACTTTTCTAAGAGCATTTTGAATCTGTTCAATATCATTCTTGGGGCACCAGCCCTCTGCAATCAAACACTTGCGGCTCACATCATAATTAAACAGGTTCATGGTGTGATAGATGGCCTTCTCTTTCTTTACAATGGTAACCCATACGGCCAAATTACTTGCGACCTTGGCTAATTCCGAAATTCTGGCATTTTTGGTGTTTTGTAAAACTGAATTGAGATCTTCTATCTTTCCCATAACTTCTGTCAATTTCTCACGTCTACTTTCGTGATTGCTATCTACGGGATAAAGAGTCGCACCCAAAGATTCGGAAATTTTTCTGATCTTGTTTAACAGTTCTCTTCCGTGAGCGAATATGATGAACACATTTTTTTCGACCACCTCGTCCGTACTTGGGTCGGTTATTGGTTCGTCGATCTCTGCATAATTGAGATATAGATTTCCACGTAATGCGCGCCAGAGGATACGCTCAAAGGTTTGCATTTTCGTCCTCGGGATAACACCTGCAACAAATCTATATCGATATTTGAATAAATGACAATAAGATAATGTTGCCGCAATCAAAACGAAAATTTAAATGCCCACCCTAGATTGAGTTGATGGAAAGACGGTTCTCCTTGCTCGATGTCTTGCAGAGAATCTGGTTCTAGTAGAGGAGCTGTTGGTTCGTCAAAAGAGCTGCGTATGTCATCTTGACGGGATTCGGCCTTGAGAATTAGAAAGACGAAAAAAAGAAGAGGTAGAAAAAAAAAGAGGAATCTCACGATGAAGTTCATTTAATCAAATGGTAGCCATAACATTTACTTACCTTCTTAAAGAACTCGGCGGTCTCGCGTAATACGTGCTTCGCCTCTGTCAGTTCCAAATATTGTTTCATCAATGTCTCGTATGAACTGTTCATTTGCGTGATGCGCCGTTCATGTTCCATAATCTTGTCTTCAAGGTCGTCGATCTCATTTGCATTCCGGATGCGCACATTTGATGCGTCACCAGTAAGCGGTCGTATCTCGATTTCCGATTTTGCAATTTGAGCAGTAAAGAAGCCTTTTAAGAACAGAATAATCAGCACGTCAAATTCACATCCTTAAACGATTTAATGTTCGATCCTACTTCTCTCGTTTTCACCTTCCGTGAAAAGAATAAAACTTACGCAAGTGCCTTTCTATCTCATCGAAACGCCTAATTTCTTTGACGAAAGCGCGTTGAAACGCATTGACATCGGGATTCAGCTAAGGTTGAATAAAAGAAATGCAATCGGGGTAAGAAATATCTTTCCGAATGTTTCAGAGTACGCCTAAGGAGTCTTTTGAAGTGAAAAACTGCAAACCGGAATTACGCACGTCTCTAAATTGGATTAAACCCAACTCTCCCAACTCCGCTACAGTTAGCTGAGCGGTTTCTTGTGGTATGTAAAGTTGAATGAGAGACATCTCTTCCGAACGGAAGAGACTTGAGTAAGGCATCGTGTGAACGATATGAACGTTATGTACCTAATGTATATAAAGTAAGAGAGAAGTTTTCTTATGCACACAGATCTGTGATGATAATTGATGTTGATATGCATGTTGGCGAAATCAGCCGGGGCAAATACACCTGACATTTCCATAAAAGTATGTGTACCTAACACAAAATTTATCCTTTACCGTCAGACGGAACAGAGTTTTCTGAAGGATCGAATTAGACCGATCTGCCTCGAAATCATAATGCTCAAGAAAAAGTTCAGAAATAACCGCACCCGGATAGACTTCGATGACGACGAGGAGGTTGCTGGTTTGTTCGATTTGTCTTTTGTTCAGATCTTTTTTTTTTTTTTTTTTTTACTACTTCTACAATTCTTCACATATTCCAGCTATTCCGAGCCTGCAGAATTCTGATTTCGTGGTGAAGAAAAAAGCCAAGAAGTTAAGAAGCAAGACAGGCTTGAGCTTTGGAGCCGAGGAGGTATCGTGGAATTAGGAATTGAAGAAAGATCTTGGTTTTAGTTCCAAATTCACTAATTGACGCTGGTTATGTTAGGATGAGGATGAAACCTTCAAGGTGACAAAGAGTTCTGCAAGCCGTCGACTTACGCAAACCAAACTCAAAAAGTTAACTTTAGATGAGTTGAGTAGCAAATTCAGATTTTCAATGTTTTGCCGAGGTCGTACTCTGAAGTGTTTTTTTTTTTAACGCAGGGATTCATTACCGCTCAATTCAGATCGGGCGGCAACTACCTCATCACCGTATACCAAGGAATTCTTATCAGAACTTCGAGCGAGCACCCCTGCCACTCCGGCGTCCTTTAAGAATCAGAACGACATCATTGCAGAAAAGTTCCCATCCACATTTGGTTTCGGTACGTGCTTTTAACTTTAATTATGTCGAAATCTCGAAAAAAAAAAAAAAAAAAAAAAAAAAAGCTCATCACACATTCGTGAACACAACAATTTCAGATGAGATACCCGATGAAAGCACGATTCAAGCTGCCAAAAAGAAAAGGGTGGAGTTAAGGCAAAGAGGATCTCTTCCGGATTACATACCCTTGAGCGATAATACGGACGTGAGTCGTTGGATTTCATTTTAAAATTGAGGACATTTTGTTTATCTTGATTTTGAATTTGCAACTTGAAAGGTTATTCGCGTCTCTGGAAAACAATTGGAGTCAAGATTGGTTCGCGAGGAGGACGAGGTGGGCGACGCTGAAGACGGTTAGTTCGGAAGGCACACAAATTAACAATGTTCCCATTGGTTAGGCAATGAGTCAATGACTAATTTTATTCGATAATCTAGAGCTCGCACCATATGTCGAAGAAACGGTGGCACTCGGAAAAAGAGCGGAAAAAGAGCAGAAACGCATCCGAAAGGCAGGGATTGAGGAAAGGATCATGGAAGTGTGAGTTATCTTCTTTTTTCTTTTCTTTTTTTATTAAGGAAAATGATGTTTTGTTAAATGAGACAACCCTTTTACAGTGATTTTGATGAGGAGGATGACGAGTACATACAGTGGGAGATGGAAGCGATAAAAAAAGGTGGACACATATTTCGTCCACCTTCTCCAAAACCTCCCAAGCCAAAACCTCCAGAATTTCCTGTTCAAAGTAAGCGAGAATGAAAATTTGACCCCTTTATTGCAATATCAATCGCGTCGATGTGTTGCTGACGTGATTTTCAATTTATTTTAAGTTCCCTCCATTGTTCCTATTCCCACAATAACCGAAATTCAATCGATGCTGGATCAGAAAATGATGGATTTAAAGTTTCTTCAAGAAAATCACCAGTCCCAACTTATTCGAGTCCAAAGGGACATGGAAAACATTGTTCCATCGAGCGAAAAATTAGATGCAGATTTGGAAAATACGAAAAATCGTTACACCTATTTTCAGGAACTCAGGTTGTTCGTTGAGAACCTGGTCGAATTTCTCGACGTTAAGGTTGTTAATGTTGAAATTACAGGTTCAATATTATGACGATTTTGTTACTTGGTATTGGGTTTCTTTCTTTTCAATTATTGATATCCATTATTCATACGCCTTTTTTTTTTTTTTTTTTTTTTTTCAAAATAATTAGTTTCCTACCCTTGAAAAGTTAGAAAGTGATTTTCACACTTTACTAAGCGAACGGTCGGAACTCAATTTGAAAAGAATTGCGCTGGATGATTCTGATGACTTGGCGTTATTTTGCGATACACCTACAGGTAATGATCTATCGAGATGCAACCAAAATATAATTAGCAATCGTTATTAGACTTCTCGTTTTCCTAATATCGAAAGATATTGTATGATCAATTAATTCTGACTCGCAATTTCGGCAGGTTCGGCAGTTAATGATGCCATTCGCCAGAATCGTAGACAACAGCGTGACCGAAGGAGAGCATCAAGATTACAGAGTCGGATGGAAATTAAGGATGAAGAAGAAGGGTTCTCCACAGATGACGAGTTAGGGGAAGAGGACAAGAGAGAATTTTTATCCAGATTTGGTTCGACTTTTTGTCATCAAATATATCGGTTATTTCAACATTGAACTTTAGGAATTTTGGTTAATAACCTTCTTTTCTATTTCCATCTTTATTCAGATGAAATTTCTTATTATAACACAAAATTATTTGAGAACGTTTCCGAAGAGTATGGATCCATGGATTTGGTGAAATCGAAATTTTATGCGTGGAAACGAGACTTTTACGAAGATTACTCCAAGGCATTTGGTGACCTGAGCTTACCCGAGGTGTTTGAATTTTACGTGAGACATGAAATACTATTATGGGAATCCTTTCAGGTACGGTTATCGATGACAGTTTCGCCTCTTTTTTTTTTTTTTCCAGCAGTAAATAATTTTATGCATTGATGAACGCCACAGGGACATTCTAATCTTGATGAGATGAAGTGGTTTCGAATTCTAAGGGAATTTGACGATGTAAATGCCGGTGAAACGAGTGCGGAAACGGGTGGCGGAAAACTCACGAGCAAAGTTGTTGAAAAGGTCATTCTACCGAGGGTAAAGCGCCTGGTAGATGTCATGGATCCCCACTCCTCTAGCCAAACAAAATCTGCCATCGAGTTTTTTGAATCTTCGATGAAATTCGTTGACAAGAGTTCGCAAAAGTTCAAGGCACGCGTGGAATTTACTTTACCTTCCCGAGTCAGTATTATCATCGGTGTGAATGCTAATCGAATTTCTTTTGTTGATTAGGATTTTGCATCGGCAATCTCCAAACGACTGGACAACGTGATCACTTCAGTAGAACGGGTTCCAGAAGGGTTCTATTTTCAGACTCCCGAAATAAATTTAGATGTTCTAAGGGCGCGGGATAGATATTTTTGGCGCAAATACAAGGTAATATGAAATCTATCGTCGATTTGTGAAGTGATCCCTTGGCTGACGCGAAATTCTCAAAACTCCCAGTTACTACATAATCTGATAATGTGGAAAGATCACTTGTCGGAAGATGCCCTCCGTCCACTTGCCGTGGAACATTTGATCGATCGTTGTTTGTTGCGAGTTTTAGTTTCTTCGTCAACCGATGCCTCAAAGTTTGAAAAGGTACTTTGCTTGTGCTTTCCTTAAAAGCAATTGGACGGTACTTACATCTAGTCTTTTTTCCAACCATTTAGCTTCTGGACATCATTCCAGACAATTGGCTCTCACATTCGATGCTGGAGAAAATTGCACGCGGCGCTGCAGGAATATGACATTTTCAAATAAAAACAAGCGGATTAGCGACACATTATTTCTTGCGACATAAATTCTCGTGATTAAATAGAGTGTGTTGGCCCGTTGCACCTTCCGGAAATCGGCTGTTGAGGGAAGCGCACCAAATAAAATCGAGAATCGTGCGAAAACACCACATAATACGCGAAATGTTTATTGGTGGTGATATAATGTAATCAATTATTAATGAGTAGAGGTGGGTGGCCAAGAGTTGTGGTGAAGTGAGATTTATTATTACATTGATATTTCAATAAACTTTTATTGTAAGACGTTCATTGCGTAATGGCACAAATTAGATATAAAATTATTGATTGAAGATGAATCTTTGAAATATACAGAATGCATAGTGTCCGTCAGTATCAAAATTTTCTTAAACCTCTAGCAAATCATTCATTAATCCAACAACACTTCGTCGTCCTCATCGTCGTCATATAATGAGTTTCGTGGAAGAGCAGTGCAACTGCATACCGACTCGAGAAATTCGGGTTGAGCCTCTATCCTTTCCATGGCTTTTGTGGCGGCTAACCTTCTCGCCGATCGAATATTACTGGCAGCCCCCTGGGCCACCTTCGTTTCGTGAATGAATATTGTACATTCCTGAATACTGTCTAATTCTTCCGACGTATGATTTCTATTTCACCGTGACAGAAATAAAATTTTCAATCACACCGTGCACATTTCACAACGCGAAGGAAAAAAAAAGAAAAAAAAAAAAAGCCTCACCTCAATAATACCTCTTCGCACCCATGTTTTTGCATGAACTCTGTAAATTTCTTTACCGGATGAACCCTCAAAGTTTCCGGCGTGACAAACTCATCTAAAATCGGTTTCACCCATTTATCAAACACTCGCTGCGCAACTTCCGGATCAAATTCGGCATCCACAATAACTGCCCCCAACATACTTTCGACAACATCACTCATCACCTTGGGAACATCCACATCGCTCCAATATTCTCCCACGGCCTCCCCGTTCTCTCTCATCCCCTCAATTACCCTCACAAACTCGGTCATCGCCGACATTAGCTTTGGTGAGAAATGAATGATGTGTTTGTGGAGACCTATCCTTTCACAAATTGCACCAAGGATATGATTATTAACCGACGCATCCTTTAGATCCGTTAATAATCCAGGTGCCCCGCTCGGGTATTTATCATACAAGTATTTGACCGTCATGAAGTCCAAGACTGCGTCACCCAGAAATTCAAGACGTTGGTAACAGGAAGTCGTGGAATTGGGAAGGCTGGCGTGAGTCAACGCCTCGGCAATTAAAATCTTGTTTTTGAACGTGTACCCACAGATACTCTCAACTCTCTCGACGTCAAGTTTCTCGAGCGCCTTGGATTTGACACGAGGCGAATTTTTATTATTAAGATGAAAATGTTTCCATTCCGTGATATCATCCATTGGAACGCCCATCGCTATGCAACACTTTAAAGCTGCTTCAATGTTACCGCTCAAGTACGCTGCCGCTAGTGTGGCTTCGACCACATCCGCTAGTGTCTTGTCCGCTAGCTCGTGAGACTTCTCAAGCATCTCGGGGTCGTCGTTCGCGGTTATCATGTTTGTTGGTCGCCACGTCCGACGGTTAAATGGTAAAGAGGTGATGTGTTCGTAAAGGTATAGTCGTTTCGCAGATCGATAGAGCTCCCGATTACAAATAATTCGAATTCGCTGACAATGCAATTTACCCTCATGCTTATCGGGAAACATGACGTACAATCTGATGGTGACGACAAACTTTAAGATTGAATCGCCCAACGTCTCGAGGCGTTCATAATTCATCCCCATGTTGGCCGAAGGTGTTGTCAACGCTTCCAAGAGTATGTCGTCTTTGGTTGGCAAGTCAAGCCGAAATCTTAACTCTAAGGCCAACAGCTGCGAATCGATCCTTGTGAGAATGGCCGGTAACATGAGAGCCGATCGGAAGATCGAAGCTCGGATCGGGTATTCTTTGCAAAACTCGGGTATCACGTAAGTGGCGACTCGACCTTTCAAGGCCGGAATGGCGCCTGGCACCGGTTGCAAGAAATTCATGACCTTTGAAATTTTACGTACTTTCAACAATGGCTGATTGGGATATTTTAACTCAAGACCGCTGAAATTTTTCCTATAGTACTCTACAAAATTTTGACAGCCGGCTTCACGGATTGCCATCCCGGATGGTACAGGAGAAAATGGATTTAAATCGTTTTGAACGTCCTGAACAAAATATCGTCGTGAGTTATCCGAGTAGTCGATTATCACGGCGTCCACAAGGTCATGCATATTATTCAGATCGATCGGTATGTGTCGATGCGTGACCGCCCTTTCTACGCTCTCCCAGTCGATGAAGCTAAGCGTGTTTCCGTCGATCGGCGTGTTAGGAATCAGCGGTACAACAAAGTATGAGAATCTCTCGAATTCGCACTTAAACTCTTTGTTTACTATAGATGTGAATGTTCGCAATGTGAAGTTGAATGCCATCCTTGATTTTTCGGAATTGATGTTAATTGGAGTGGAATAAGGAAGAACGCGTAGAGTTTGGGGATCACCGTGAAAGTACAATGTAATAGGTGGAACCTCGGGAAATTGTTGACGGGTCAACAAACAGAAAGTACGATAAGATTGTTCGTTATATATCTCGTCCTCAAAATCCAATTTGAGGACGGTGCCGTATAATTTCTCAGGAATCTCCAGTTGATCCTCGTCGATCTTCCAAAAATCTGGAGATTTGAGGTGGTAATTTCTCTTGGATTTTCGGGCCCCCTCGACAAACCCTTGTTCATCCTTGATTGGGTTTTTCATCTCATGGTCCTCCTCTACATATTCAACTGTCGGCAGCAAATGATCGTCCAACTCCTTCTTCTCATGCAATTGCAGGCAAGCCTTGAACGCCGACGATTTCTTGGCCTTGCTTCGACTACTCGCGATCTCGCCCTTCACCTCCCTGATAGGCGCATTGCTTGGAAACGTCAAGAAGCAAATATAACCTTCGGTCTCTCGTTCGACTCTAAAATCCGGTTGGAAATGACCATATTCATCTTCTTGAGGAAGTTTTGAACAATAATAGTAGACCAAATCAATCGCCGAATCGTGACTCAGAAGGGCGCCCTTGGGAGAAATGTAATACCCTTCGTCTCCCATGTAATCGTCGTCATCATCATCATCATCGCTGTCGCCATAGTCATTGACCGTCGTTTTTCGATCATCGGGAAGCATTCTGCACCACTGCTTCAACTTCTCCTCCGCCCCCTTCATTTCTTCGAGTATGGCTTGCTCCTTAAGATTTCCTTTTTCGATCATCACGATGTACCTTGAATCTTGGCGACGAGCTCGTCCCCGAGATTGAATGTAGGCCCGTAAGGTGCCAAAAAAATCGAACCTAACGAGAGAAGTGAGATGAAGAGAAGAGATTATTATCCATCGGGTGATGACAACGATTTATTGCGCGAACCGGAAAAAAAAAAAACCATGGTACCGGATGACAACATTGCATGGTTGAATGTCTAAACCTTCTTCGGCAACATTTGTGGCTATCAATAAATTTATCTTGCCTTGACGGAAATTGTTTATCGTTTTAATTTGTTCTTTGAATTTCATCTGTAAATCACCTTCCTCGACGGTACCATGACCCACCAGAACACCGGATGAGATAAACTTGAGGTCGTCAATTTCCCTTAGCAAACAATCCAACACGTTGGCCGTGTGTCGGCGTTCGACAAAGACAATTCCGCAGAAATCATTGGATTCGTCTTTGAAGCAACTCAAAATTGCGATTAGTTGTATCACTTTGGGCGATAGAGCTTCGATGTTAACTTCTGGTTTCCGAAATTCCCACTTCTCAACAATATTTATGGCCCTCTGCAATAATTGCTTTTCTTCTTCGAGTAGTTCCAAATCATACACTTCCGGGTCTAACCTGCCTTCATTTTTTTTGTACATTTCATCCAGGACATATCGCCAGATACGGTCGGAACACCATGGTCCGAGGGTCCGAAGTGCTTCTTGCGAACTCATAAACGCCCGCTTAAATCTATCCATGGCCATACATTCACCCCAAAGTGTTTGATATAACGAGGTTCCTTCGTATGGTGGAGGGGGGTCATACTTTATGGATATCTCTTCAGGACGATTCACATACTTTCTGAGCTCCTCTGTGTCAGTCGCCGTAAAAACCCGGGCGTTCAGACTACGCTCGAGATGGCTAGACCAGGCAAAACCAAACAAGAGGTCATCGGATTAGGTGAATAAAAGAAATGATCGACACACGAATTCAACCAAATTATGATACCTAGCAGAGTGGATTTCACTACGCGTATTCACCGGTGAAGCAGTCATACCAAAGATTTTCGGTCTTTCGTCGTCAGGACAACGATCATAAAATTCCCGCATTATTAAATTGTAAGGGTGTTTCTTGGAAGTATGATGGCACTCGTCAAAAATCAATAGGTTGACCTATACGCGATGCAAACAAATTAATGTTTCTTGATAAATTAGAAAGAGGTCGCGGTTTGCAACTTGAAAGAGAACAACTAAAACTCACTTGCGGCAAGGAAATGAATCCGTGTCGCAGAACATTTAAAAATATTTGTGCTGTCATGACGAGTACATCTAACTGCTCAAAATTACGCTTCCACTCGTCCTCACTCCAAAGATCGACGCCCATCTCACCACAAAAGTGTTTGACCTTGAGATCACAATTGCTATCGATCACTTTGGATTGTTGGAACACCAGCGGAACAAGATTCACAAGAAAAAATGTGAGTTTTGTCTGAGAGAAAAAAAGATATGTCAAAAAATTAATAAGAAAGGCGCATCCCGTGAGGCATCAGGGATAAGGCTAAGTGCCAATATCTACCCTTCTCCGATCCTTTCTCAGATGCTTCTCTTTCATTGCTATTTCTTTTATCAGCATTACAGCGATAAAAGTCTTTCCACTACCGGTATCTAAAACTGCGATGACATTATCACTCCTCGCCTTCTCATAAAGTTCTATCTGATACTTGCGAGCTATTAGAGTTTCCGGATCTTCCGTCTTAACTTTTGGCACCATGACCTCTTTGTATTTAATGCCTCCATCGGAATTTTCCTCATTCTCTACCGTTTGCTCGAATATTTCATTGATGTCCAACTGACTAGGAGCGAAATCCATTTTGGTCGATGAATGCTATTGTCCTAAAAAGCTAGTAGTATATATGTATGTATATTTGTTTGCTTTTGTTTCTAAATGTAGTAGTTGAATCAACATCGGAATCAATAATAGAATTAATGTTACATTGGTATCGAATTTCCGATCTCTTTCTTGCCACGGAAAGTATATAGTCGCCTTTTTTTTTTTAATACCTGCGGAAATTCTACATTATCACATAAACAACGAGGTCGAAATGTGTGAATAGGTACAATTTCATTATACGATATGTAACGTAGTTGTCTCTTGTCCAATAAAGTGAACAGCAAATAATACCCCAAAGCAAAAAAACAAGATGAATTTCTAAATATGTTAAAGATGCGTCTCTGTTTGGCCTTTATTACTTGAATATATTATATTTCTACTAAAAAATGATTGTTTTCAAAAAAGTCAAAAAAAAAAGCGTGGATAGGCATGAATGAATGACTACGGCGCAATTCTTTTTAACACTTTATTAAATATATAAGAAGAAAGCAATTACTCTTAAAATTGATTTACAGTATATTTATTAAAGATTAATAAATCTTTTATATAATTAAAATGCAATTTAATTTAATTTAATTTAATTTTTTTAAATAAAAATTCGAATAGTTTATTGAAATATATGGTATGGCTTATATATTACGAAAAATTATATTAAACCAAATCAATTTAAATTTCTATATCAATATTTGAATACAACTATTAGTTTATAATATATAAAATCATTTTATCAATATTTTTTAATATTGGATCAAAACTTCTTATTTTTATTTTGTTTTATCAAATATTTTTTTACGATACTTATTATAATATATTTATAAATAATTATATAGCGTTTTAGATATTCCCTTATTTTATTAAACTATTCTTTTTATATGACTTATTACAACTTATTTATAGAGTGATCATATAAAGTTTTAAATTGATTTTTTTTAATAATAATCTTCTTTAAATAATATATCTGAATACTTTATTGATTTTTTATAAATAGCTTTTTATAAATCTTTTATTTATTTATTAAAACTCAAAAAATTTGTCTTATAATAAAATAATTTTAGCATTAAAATTAATCAAAGTATTTTATAATCTTTTATATTTTTTATAATCAAATAAAATTTAATTAAAAGTAATCAAATTATTATTATGAAATTGATAAGATCTTTTTATACTATTTAATGCTTAGATAATATTATTTTATAGTGATATTGAACTTAAAAACAATATTTAATAATCTAAAAGTATTATTATTATATTATTAACTCATAGATTTAAATGTAATTTAATAAAAAAAATTTTTTAACAAAATATCTTATATATTTTTTTTTTAATTTATAATATTTGACTTATATTTATTAAAAAGTTTATATAATTTACTATATTATAATATTACAAATTTTTATAGATATAACTAACTTATCTATAATAATAACTTACAAACAATAAAATCAATAGTTGAAAAGGTTTTTATCTAAACTATTAATAAACTAATAAATTATTTCTAAAGTTGTACTTAGAGTTAGATTAACTAAAACAAATAATACTAGTTGAAATTATGTCATTTGATAGCTAAATTATTATTAAATTTAATTAAATTTAATAATAAAAATATTGATAAATTCTTTTTAATTGTTGCTACTTAACATATTACTATTTTGACAATAAAGTAATAATCAAAAATTTAGCAATCAAAAATTTAATAATTAAAATTTCAACAATAAAAAATTTATTAATTAAAAGTTTAACAATAAAATTATCAAAAAAAATTTTTACCAAATTGTCAAATAATTTAGTAATTATTTAGTAAAAATTTATTATTAATTTAATAAAAATTTATTTCAATATTATTTATTGGCCATTCAATAAAAATTCAATTTTAATTTATTAATAACTTATCAAAAATTCATTAATGATTTGTTAATAATTAATAAATTATTTATCAAAACTATTTATTAAAAATTCATCAACTATTTATTAAAACTATTTATTAAAAATTCAATAACTATTCATTAAAATTGTTTATTAAAAATTTAATAAATTTTATCTATTATTTAACAAAAATTTATAAAATTTATAAAAAAAATTATTCATATTTATAAATTATTTAATATTATTTATATAATAATATATAATTAAAAAAAACTTTTTTCACTAATCTTCAATTTTTCAAAAAATTTTAGTTTTTTTTTTTTTGATAATTTTTTAAGAAAAGAAAAATTAGTCAAAAAAATAAATGAAATCACTTTTATAATCAAACAACTTATAAAAAAAACAAGTTCAAGAATTCTTTGCAATGTATAAAAGAGATAAATTTTTTAAAATCATTAATTTTTACTATATAAACTTTTTTTTTTGAAAAGAGAAGAATAAAAAGAAGAATTGAATTATAGTAAACTTTTGAAAGCTTATTATCAACTTTACAAAATTCTTAGTTAGACCAAATAGATTAACACCTTTTTAGATATCAAAAAAAGCTTTACAAGTAATAACTCAAATTGATAAATTAGTTCAAGTCCAAATACTCATAAAACCTAAAGAAATATTTAAGCTTTATTGACTATAGTATAAAAAAGTATATACTATATATTATAATAACAATATTTAATAATATTATATTATGAAATATAGACATATATAATTTTCACAATAAGTTCAAAAGACCTATCAAATAAATAATTTTAATATATTTTTTATATTTTTATATAAATCAATTATCAACAATCCTATAATTCTATATATTTATTACTGATTAATCAATAATATCAATAATACTATCACAATATATATATAAAATAAATACTAATAACATATTACAACAAATAATAAAGTTTTTTATATTATTAAAATAATAATAAGAAATAAACAAACCTGAAATATATGTTTAAGAAAAATATAACAATAATTCATAGCAAAATACAGTAATATCAAAAATAATTAATCTATTTTCTATATTATATAATCAATATATTTATGAAAAAATACAAACTTTTACAGATTACTAAGAAAATAAAAGTACATATTATAGAAATCTTAATTTAATTATCAAAAAAATATAATCAATAATAAAAACTATAAGCAACACAAACCCTTCTTAATATTACTTCAACTCAAGAAGTCATTTCAAACCCTATCTCAAGTTTAACTCAATATTCAATTATAGATAGTATTATAATTAAAATTATAAATATTAATTATACTATCTTTATAAAGTCAATATTCTTAGACAATATATTTTTTACTTTGAATTAAAGGACAAGAAAAAAAAAAAGACCTTCTAGTTTTATTTTTAAAGAACAAATATTTGAATATAATAAAACAAACCAAATAAATACAATATTCTTTATAAAATATTATATTAAATTAGTCAATATATGAAAACAACTTTCATATACACAGCTCATCAAATAAGGCAATAGTCCTAGAAGTTCAAACAATCACAACAATCAAAATCTCAAATATTATTGAAATTGAAATGGAAGATAAGAAGCTAAAAGACATAATAAAAAAAAAAGTTAGTAATAAAAAAATTAAAAGAGGCAATATATATATATATAAGATAAGAAATAGATCAAAAACACCATTATTAATCTTTTTTATATTAAGGTGAATAGTGAATATAAAATGAATATGTTCACTTTCAAACTTCCAAGAAAAATAAAAATAAAACAATAGCATATCTGCAAAATATATTAGGTTTAACAAAAGATTTTTAACCATTTAAAAAAGAATTTATCAATAATAATATATAGATAATATTTTTTTATGAAAAGAAGAAAGATATATTACAATATCTTAAAAAGATTAATAAAAAAGAAAAAGAAAACTTTATTATTATATCTATAGAAATAAAAAAACAAACAAACTCTATTCAATTATTAAATAAAAAAGTATTTTAGCAAATAAAAGAAAAAAAGAAAATCTCACTGATGGTTACGTTAATTGATATCAACTGAAACTATTCATGTCAAAAAATCAAATTTACTTTTAATAAATATAGATATATTACAAATATTCATATTTACAATTATTCACAATTATAACAAAGAATCACGATATATATTATTTTTCATAAGAAACATATTAATCTTGAAAAAGAATAGATAATTTATATTAATATAAAAACTATTAGGACCATTTTCACTTGATATGAACTTTATAATGATAAAATTAATAAGATTATTAAATAGTACAGCTCATAATTTTTATGACTATATGAAATATACAATACTATAACTAGTTTAATTATACAAGTAGTCAAGTATACTAAAGTCAAATCATGTTACATCATTAGAAATCCATATATATTAAAGAGAAGAGATTATGTATTAATTTGTTTTTTATCAGCACAAGACTTGAATAATACTTTAAAATAGTATATATTCATTTATGAATATAAACTTATCTAAAATACTAGAGAATATTTTAAATAAAAGCAAAGTTATTTTCAAAAAATATAAGATCAATAAAATCACAGAATCTGATATTGAATCTATACAAGTAGTTAGGCAATAATCTAATAAAATAGAAAAAACAAATATTAGATGCAATACAAAACTAATAGAAAAATAGGTTGATAGTAGAATATAATCAAAATACAAATATTGATAGAGCAACTATATCAATTTCAAAAAAGAAAATCCATATAAGAGTAATCATAAATCAACAAACAAAATTAGAAGAATTGTTTCTACTATAGAAACTGATAGAAATAAAGAGCAACTTAAACAAAAAAGAAACTATTTTTTTATTAAAGAATTTGATAATAAAAAAAATTTAGATACTAAAGAAGAAGCTTTGATCCTTGATAACTATTCTAATTAATTTAAACAAATTTAACAATAGAATAGTAAAATAGAATATTTATTATAAAAATCTTTTAGACTCAAAAGTAAAAAAGGTGTTAACTGATTATGATAGTTACATCAGTTCAATTATAGTATTCTAAAGAAAAATATGATCTTTCAAGGAAATCAAACACTTTTCAA